ATTTCTATTTTAAATGTGCAAAATTTGGTAAGTCTATACTTATAATTTATCATTGCATTCATATTTTTTAGATTTCCTTATACAGAGTGACCCAAAACAAAATAATGAATCAGTCAATTTATTTTATTGAATAAATTAAAAATTGCAAAACTGAATATTTTGAAATCTTCCAGATGTTTTAAAGTTATTGTACACATGGTTAATTGTTAATCGAAATATTAACACCATGTTTATTCCACGAAAAAAATTAATGGTCATCTCAAAATTTTGCCGAATAAATTCTATCCAAAATGTGCAACATATGAGTTTTTAATTATGATTTATCAATGCATTTATATTTTTTTAATTTTCTTAAAAAGGTGGCTCAAAAAATTAATTAATGAGTGAAGTTATTTTATTGATTAAATCAGGAACGGCTCACTCGACTTTCCCAGAAAATTTTAGAAATACAATGCTGTTATGTTTCAATTTCCACTTTACACTAAATTAAATAAGTCAGTGAAATGGAGAAAGTAGGTGGGGAGGGCTAAAATTAGCGATATTCTAGATTTATGAGAAAGTAGTAGCCCACGCATTCGTCGTTCCAGTGACTACTCTAAATATTGTTCAGTCCTATCTTAGCAAGTTTTAGCCCCGCCCACCCACCCGTTTTTTCTCTCAGAGGATATCTCATTTACCAAAATCAATCTTATCTTAGCAAATACTAGCCCACAGATTCTTCGTTTCAGTGACTACTCTTAATATTGTTCAGTCCTATCTTAGCAAATTTAAGCCCCGCCCACCCACCCTTTTTTTTCTTAGAAGATATTTCATTTACCAAAATCAATCTTATCTTAACAAATATTGGCCCACGGATTCTTCGTACCAGTGACTATTCTAAATATTGTTCAGTCCTATCTTAGCAAGTTTTAGCCCCGCCCACCCACCCTTTTTTCTTAGAGGATATCTTATTTACCAAAAACAATCTTATCTTAGCAAATACTAGCCCACGTTCCAGTGACTACTCTTAATGTTGTTCAGTCCTATCTTAGCAAATTTAAACCCCGCCCACCCACCCGTTTTCCCTCTTAGAGGATATCTCATTTACAAAATCAATCTTATCTTAACAAATACCACCCACAGATTCTTCGTTCCAGTGACTACTCTTAATATTGTTCAGTCCTAACTTACCGAGTTTTAGCCCCGCCCACCCACCCTTTTTTTTCTTAGAAGATATTTCATTTACCAAAATCAATCTTATCTTAACAAATATTGGCCCACGGATTCTTCGTTCCAGTGACTATTCTAAATATTGTTCAGTCCTATCTAAGCAAGTTTTAGTCCCGCCCACCCACCCTTTTTTCTTAGAGGATATCTTATTTACCAAAAACAATCTTATCTTAGCAAATACTAGCCCACGTTCCAGTGACTACTCTTAATGTTGTTCAGTCCTATCTTAGCAAATTTAAACCCCGCCCACCCACCCGTTTTCTCTCTTAGAGGATATCTCATTTACAAAATCAATCTTATCTTAACAAATACCACCCACAGATTCTTCGTTCCAGTGACTACTCTTAATATTGTTCAGTCCTACCTTACCGAGTTTTAGCCCCGCTCACCCACCCTTTTTTTTTCTTAGAAGATATCTCATTTACCAAAATCAATCTTATCTTAACAAATATTAGCCCACGGATTCTTCGTTCCAGTGACTATTCTTAATATTGTTCAGTCCTATCTTAGCAAGTTTTAGCCCCGCCCACCCACCCATTTTTTCTCTTAGAGGATATCTCATTTACCAAAATCAATCTTATCTTAGCAAATACTAGCCCACAGATTCTTCGTTTCAGTGACTACTCTTAATATTGTTCAGTCCTATCTTAGCAAATTTAAGCCCCGCCCACCAACCCTTTTTTTTCGTAGAAGATATTTCATTTACCAAAATCAATCTTATCTTAACAAATATTGGCCCACGGATTCTTCGTTCCAGTGACTACTCTAAATATTGTTCAGTCCTATCTTAGGAAGTTTTAGCCGCGCCCACCCACCCTTTTTTTCTTAGAGGATATCTTATTTACCAAAAACAATCTTATCTTAGCAAATACTAGCCCACGTTCCAGTGACTACTCTTAATGTTGTTCAGTCCTATCTTAGCAAATTTAAGCCCCGCCCACCCACCCGTTTTCTCTCTTAGAGGATATCTCATTTACAAAATCAATCTTTTCTTAACAAATACCACCCACAGATTCTTCGTTCCAGTGACTACTCTTAATATTGTTCAGTCCTACCTTACCGAGTTTTAGCCCCGCCCACCCACCCTTTTTTTTCTTAGAAGATACCTCATTTACTAAAATCAATCTTATATAAATATTAGCCCACGGATTCTTCGTTCCAGTGACTACTCTAAATATTGTTCAGTCCTATCTTAGCAAGTTTTAGCCCCGCCCACCCACCCTTTTTTTTTCTTAGAGGATATCTTATTTACCAAAATCAGTCTCATCTTAACAAATACTAGCGCCGCCCACCCGCCCTCTATTTTCTTAGAAGGTATGTCATTTGCCAAAATCAGTCATATCTTAGCAGATACTATAGCTCCACCCACACACGTTCTTATTTCTGAAGAAAAAAATGAGAGAACGGGTGGGTGGGCGGAGCTAAGTGTAACTTTTTCCTACAGAATCTTTTATCAGCAAGCAATAGCCCCGCCCCTCTTCATTTCAGTGATTATTCTTAATATTCTTCAGTTATTTACCAAAATCAATCGTATCTTAGCAGATACTATAGCTCCGCCCACACAAGTTCTTATTTCTGAAGAAAAAAACGGGAGAACGGGTGGGTGGGCGGGGCTAAGTGTAATTTTTTCCTACAGAATCTTTTATCAGCAAGCAATAACCCCGCCCATCCATTTCCTCTTCATTTCACTGATTGTTCTTAATATTCTTCAGTCATTTACCAAAATCAATCGTATCTTATAAGATACTATAGTTTCGCCCGCACACGTTATTATTTCTGAAGAAAAAACGAGAGAACGGGTGGGTGGGCGGGGCTAAGTGTAACTTTTTCCTACAGAATCTATTATCAGCAAGCAATAGCCCCGCCCATCCATTCCATCTTCATTTCAGTGATTACGTTTAATATTGTTCAGTTATAATACCAAAATCAATCTTATCTTGGCAGATAATATAGTTCCGCCTACAGACATTCTTATTTCTGAAGAAAAAAAACGGGAGAACGGGTGGGTGGGCGGGGCTAAGTGTAATTTTTTCCTACAGAATCTTTTATCAGCAAGCGATAACCCCGCCCATCCATTTCCTCTTCATTTCACTGATTGTTCTTAATATTCTTCAGTCATTTACCAAAATCAATCGTATCTTATAAGATACTATAGTTTCGCCCGCACACGTTCTTATTTCTGAAGAAAAAACGAGAGAACGGGTGGGTGGGCGGGGCTAAGTGTAACTTTTTCCTACAGAATCTATTATCAGCAAGCAATAGCCCCGCCCATCCATTCCATCTTCATTTCAGTGATTACGTTTAATATTGTTCAGTTATAATACCAAAATCAATCTTATCTTGGCAGATAGTATAGTTCCGCCTACAGACATTCTTATTTCTGAAGAAAAAAAACGGGAGAACGGGTGGGTGGGCGGGGCTAAGTGTAATTTTTTCCTACAGAATCTTTTATCAGCAAGCGATAACCCCGCCCATCCATTCCCTCTTCATTTCAGTGATTATTCTTAATATTGTTCAGTTATAATACCAAAATCAATCTTATCTTAGCAGGTAGTATAGTTCCGCCTACACACATTCTTATTTCTGAAGAAAAAAACGAGAGAACGGGTGGGTGGGCGGGGCTAAGTGTAACTTTTTCCTATAGAATCTTTTATCAGCTAGCAATAGCCCCGCCCATCCATTCCCTCTTCATTTCAGTGACTAATCTTAATATTGTTCAGTCATTTACCAAAATCAATCTTATCTTAGCAAATACTATGGCTCCGCCCACACACGTTCTTATTTTTGAAGAATAAAAGGAGAGAACGGGTGAGTGGGCGGGGTTAAGTGTAATTTTTTCCTACAGAATCTTTTATCAGCAAGCAATAGCCCCGCCCATCCATTCCCTCTTCATTTCAGTGATTACTCTTAATATTGTTCGGTCATTTAACAAAATCAATCTTATCTTAGCAGATACTATAACTCCGCCCACGCACGTTCTTATTTCTGAATAAAAAAAAGAAGAGAGGGGTGGGTGGTCGGAGCTAAGCGTAACTTTTTTCTATAGAATCTTTTATCAGCAAGCAATAGCCCCGCCCATCCATTCCCTCTTCATTTCAGTGATTACTCTTAATATTGTTCAGTCATTTCCCAAAATCAATCTTATCTTATCAGATACTATAGCTCCGCCCACATATGTTGTTATTTCTGAAGAAAAAAACGAGAGAACGGGTGGGTGGGCGGGGCTAAGTGTAATTTTTTCCTACAGAATCTTTTATCAGTAAGCGATAGCCCCGCCCATCCATTCCCTCTTCATTTCAGTGATTACTCTTAATATTGTTCAGTCATTTGCCAAAATCAGTCATATCTTATCAGATACTACAGCTCCGCCCACACACGTTCTTATCTCTGAAGAAAAAAACGAGAGAACGGGTGGGTGGGCGGGGCTAAGTGTAATTTTTTTCTACAGAATCTTTTATCAACAAGCAATAGCCGCGCCCATCCATTTCTGCTTCATTTCAGTGATTACTCTTAATATTGATCAGTCATTTATCAAAATCAATCTTTTCTTAACATATAATAGCCCCGCCCACCCGCTCTCTATTTTATTAGAGGGTGTGCCGTTTACCACAAGTAGTCTTATCCTAGCAAGTACTAGCCCCTCCCATGCATCCTTACATAAAGTTAATTTACCCATCTTCCAAATCAAAATTAGTTTGCCACTATTCAGTAGGAGTTGTACGCTTAGCTCGCTTCAGGAAACATAAATTACAATTAAACTCATCTTCATTTGTAATTTCTGATAACGCATCATTTATCCAACAGATACTAAATTTTAATGGACAGCCACTCTGATAAACAATTACAACTTCTTATCACTAAACACGATTGTTCGTAATTAGATAACACAAAACGACACAAAAATGGACCAAACCACAGTTAGCTGTATCTTCTGGGTCGCTCTATCTCTAACAGTCACCCAAACAACCTCACAAGGTACCTTTCCAACCCCATTATCCACAAATTTAACGCATTTTAGGTTGCAGCGTCGATTTATTTCAACGCCCGGACACAGGCCCACTAATCCTCAAAGTACTAAATAATTCATACTACTTTCCCGAACCATCGCTATCCGACAACCGAAGCGTCGACTTCGACTACGAAGAAGAAGCAATAGTGGCGTGTCCTGGTGGTCAGTTCACCCAATTAGGCTTCAACACGAACGGCCAACATGGTAGTTGCAAAGGTGGTACCGGTTTCATGGTTGCTGGTTATTTGTACCTCTACCACCGCTTGAATTGCACGCTACCCGACGTGAAAAGACCTGCACTAAGTGAGTCGTACGACAATCCAAACCTTGACGACACGTTAGTACCAGTTCTGGATGTTTGTTTCCACGAAACCACTCTAGTGACTTCATACACCAAGCACCGTCAACGTACCACGTCTTCCAAATCGAGCTTTCCCGTGTCGACGTTCAATCGTTATACAGGAGCGTCGACTCGATTTTGGCAAGTCTAGACCTTGACGGGTACATCAACGACACCCACTTTATCAAAATCGGGAATTTAGCACCATATGAACACTTCTTCTATATTTTCCAGCGGGACGCGACGTACCACCTAGCGAACTCAGCCCCTCAATGGAACACCTTCGACGAAGGCAACTGGAAGGTGGTAGAACAAGGGGTTTTAGACTTTTCTCAAGACGCTTTCGTCTATGGAGACGCCACGGTACTAACTGGTACTTTGAAAGTGGCCACACTTGCTAATTCCTCTGGTGTTCCCGTCGAAATCTATTTGTACTACGGTCGAGTACCTGTCCCCAGGTGGTTCTGGAAGCTAATTTACTACGACGATTTCAACGTCGGTGTGATTTTTTTCGGCTTTAATAATCCGTACGCGTCTAAGAATGAAGTGGATACAGAATTTTTGACAGAAGTTTGTTCCGTTGATGTTTTTGAAAGCGCGGCGACAAGTTGGCATTTGGAGGACGTCGACAATACGGATCCAGCTTTGGGGTACATTTACGCGTGTCGGGTGAACCTGGACGAGATTTTGGACCCTCTTGTCAACAGTATTGTTAGTAATGTCCTCCCGATGGAGATTAGGAGAGCAGATATTTTCTAGTCAATAAAATTATCTATTATCATGAACCTGATTACGATGAGATAACATCAACAAAATCACAACCCAGAGTAGTGTACATTATCGTCACGACGACGACAATATCACCATGTTTAGTACCAATCTTGTCACAATTTGTGTTATTTTCACCCCAATAGTGACACAATTGGCGGCTCAAAGTACGTCCCTTTTAACCCATTTCATTACTTAACTAAATCAAATTCTAGCTTGTCAACTCGACCTTCTCGTCAGGCCAGAAACCATCCCTCTAGTAATCAAAATCAACAACAACTCCTACTACTACCCCGTCCCCACCGCCTACGACGACCGACTTCTCGACTTCCTCTACGAAGAAGACGCAATTTTCGTATGTCCCGGTGGCCACTTCAACCAACCCGGTTTCAACCCAGATGGGCAACATGGGTGGTGTAAGGGTGGCGGGGGTTTCATGTGCGACTGGTTACTAACTTTTTACCACACCATGAATTGTACCATGATTGACATAATGAGACCTTTTTTAAGCGAGTCGTACGACAACTCGGGCACTAGTTGCCAAAACTCGGACCGAAACATCCAAGTGGGTTACCAAATCGACGACGTGTTGGTACCAGTTTATGATATTTGTTTCAATGGAGAAACCTTGATGGCCACTTACACCAGACATGTTCTTACCCGTTTTGCCCCCTTGGCTAGTGTCATGCGACCACCACCGAGTCACTATTTCTTCTTGGTTTCTCTTTATCAAACAGATGTAGAAGCAATATACGACAACTTTGTCACCTATTTTAGTGAATTGGGAGTCCAGGACTATGTAAATGACACGTACTTTCTGACACCCGGGCACTTGGTACCCTACGAGGACTTTCTGAGTCCGTTTCAGAAGGACGCGGCGTACCACTTCGCCAATGTTGCGCCTCAATGGAACACGTTCGACGAAGGCAACTGGAAAGTACTAGAAACCGGAATTTTGACTTTTATAGCAAACTCGACAACGTTCGAAGGGGTACTAATTGTGGGAGACGCCACAGTACTAACCGGTACTTTGAAAGTGGCCACGCTTGCGGGTTCAACTGGTACCACCACAGAACTATATTTGACACAAGGACGATTTCCCGTTCCTCGATGGTTCTGGAAGATCATTTACTTCGCTGCTGTTAACACCGGTGTTATTTTCTTCGGGTACAACAACCCGTTCGCTACAAAGGGCGACGTCGATGCCGAATTTGTAGCAGAAGTGTGTTCCGTTGACGTGTTTGAACTAGTTAGGGATGAGTGGTACTTGGACGACGTTGATAATGGGAGTCCAGGTTTGGGTTTGATGTATGCTTGTCGGCTGCACCTGGACCAGATCCTGGACCCTGTGGTGAACGGTGTTGTCGATAATCTTCTTCCAGAGGGTGTTACAAAAGCGGAATTGTTGTAAAATGATAAATAAATCTCGACGGTTTAAAATTTTATTTTTCCATTAAGTGGTACCTGTTGAAAAATCTCCACACTCGAAAAATTAAGATAACGTAAAGTGGCGAGATATAAACTCAAATCAGAACTAGTATAGATTAAATTATCACCAGTTTAACAACGACAATGATCGGGAAATTAAAATTAATTATAATCTGCTTATCGGTGTTTCCGTTAACACTAGCACAAGGTAGGTACTTTTCTCTATTTGTAGCCCTAGTGTCTAGTTCTAGATTTCAGATTGTCAAATCGACCTCCTCGCTAACCCCACCGCATCACCTCTACTTCTAACAGTACTCGACGGTACTTACTCCTTCCCCGACCCCACCTCCACCGATAACCGAACCCTAGACCTCCTCTCCAACCAAGAACTAGTTTTTGCTTGTCCCGGAGGCCAGTTCACCCAACCCGGTCTAAACACAAGAGGCCAACACGCTTTCTGCCAAGGCGGTACCACCCTCTCTTCCAATTCGTTCCTCTACGACTACAACATCCTCAATTGCACCCTCACCGACCTAACAAGACCAGCCCTCGCCGATTCGTACGACGACCCATCTCTCCTATGTGAAAACTCCGAGAGACCCGTCCGAGTGGGTTACAAAATCGACGGTACTTTAGTACCAGTACTCGACGTTTGCTTCAACGAAGCCACCGCGCTAGCAACATACACCCGACATCGACTGACCGGCTTTGCCCCTCTAGCCCAAAGCACTGCCCGTTCGCCACCAACGTACTTCCAGTTCTATTTATCACTATACAACAAAGACGTCCAGTCGGTGTACGACAGTTTCGAATTCTATTTCGAGAAACTGGGACTTGAGGAGTACCTCACTGACGCGTACTTCTTGCGAGCAGGTCACCTCGCGCCGTACGAAGACTTCTTCCACCCGTTCCAGCGCGATGCGGCGTACCATTACGTAAACGCGGCTCCTCAATGGAACACTTTCGATGACGGGAATTGGCGGGTTTTGGAAGATGGGGTTTTGCAGGTGGTAGCGAACGGAAAAATGGGTGATGGGGTGGTGGTTACAGGCGATGCTACGGTGGTGACTGGGACCTTGAAGGTTGGTACTTTGGTTTCAAATGCCACTGGGACGCCGGAGGTTGTGGAGTTGATTTTGCGGTACGGGCAGTTCCCGATTCCGAGGTGGTTCTGGAAGGTGGTTTATTTTGGGGAGGTAGATATTGGGGCTGTGTTCTTCGGGTTTAATAATCCGTACGCGGGGTTGAAAGATGAAGTTGATGCGGAGTTCGTGGCTGAAATTTGTTCCGAAGATGTGTTCGAGAGTTTGAGGGCGAAGTGGTACTTGGACCATGTGGATAATAGTGGGCCGGGTTTAGGGTACATGTTTGCTTGCAGTTTAGATTTGGGTGGACTACTGGACCCTACTATTAACAGTGTTGTTACAAATGTTCTTTCTAAATAATAAAAATGTACTTATATACTTGTGATTTATAAATCCGCCTTGATTTCTTCCTCTTGGATTAATAATTGCATTACACGGCTAAGTATCGGATTTCCATCGCAGCTCTGACCGCTGAAGGACGCCCCTTTTCTTGATTCGTTGGAGCTCAACCAACCCCTTTTTTAATTTAATTTAAAACTACTCTTATCTTAGTAGCAACTAGCCCCGCTTACCCACCCTCTCTTTTCTTAAAGTGTATCTCATTTGCCAAAAGCACTCTTACCTTAGCAGGTACTACCTACCTGTTGAAATAAGACCGATTTTGGCAAATAATGGACCTTCAAAGAAAGAGAGGGAGCATGGGCGGGGCTAGTACCTACTAAGATTAAGCTGATAATGGCAAATGACCTACTCCCTAAGAAAATGAAGGACGAGTAGACGGGGTTGGTACTTACTAAGATAAGACTGATTTTGCCAAATGACATACCCTCTGACGAATGGACGGTGAAGGATATATGATTTTGCAAAATCAGTCCTATTTTGGCAAGTATTGGCCCCGCCCACCCACCCTTTGTTTTCCTCGGAAGTATGTTATCTGCCAATATCAGCCGTATCTGGACAAGCACTATCCCCACCTACCCGCCCTTTGTTTTTTTAGAGAGCTAATATCTGCTAAGAAAAGACTGATTTTGGCAAATGAGATACCCTCTAAGAAAAGAGAGGGTGGGTGGGCGGGTCTAGTACCTTGTAAAATAAGACTGATTTTGGCAAATAACATACCTTCCAAAGAAAGAGAGGGTGGGTGGGCGGGGCTATTACTTGCTAAGATACGAGTGATTTTGGCAGATGAGATACCTTGCATGAAAGAAAAGAGAGGACGGATGAGCGGAGCTAGTACCTGCTAAAATAAGACCGATTTTGGCAAATGAGATACCCTTTAAGAAAATGGAGGGTGGGCGGAGAAGGCTAGTACCTACTGAGATAATATTGATGTTGTCAAACGGCATACCCTCTGATGAATGGAGGGTGGAGGGTATATGATTTGGCAAAATCAGTCTTCCGTTGGCAAGTATTGGCCCCGCCCACCCACCCTTTGTTTTCGTAGGAAGTATGTTTTTTGGCAATATCAGCCGTATCTGGACAAGCACTATAAACACCCACCCGCTCTTTGTTTTTTTAAAGGGCTAGTATCTGCTAAGAAAAGACTGATTTTGGCAAATGAGATACTCTGTAAGAAAAGAGAAGGCGGGTGCGCGGGCCTACTACCTGCTAAAATAAGACCGATTTTGGCAAATGACATACCCTTTAAGAAAATGGAGGGTGGGCGGGGAGGGCTAGTACCTACTAAGATAAGACTGAGTTTGCCAAATGACATACCCTCTAATGAATGGAGGATAGAGGGTATATGATTTTGCAAAATCAGTCTTAACTTGGCAAGTAATAGCCCCGCCCACCCACCCTTTATTTTCTTAGGAAGTAAGTTATTTGGCAATATCAGCCGTATCTGGACAAGCACTATCCCCACCCATCCGCCCTTTGATTTTTTTAGAGGGCTAGTATCTCCTAAGAAACGACTAATTTTGGCAAATAAGACACTCTGTAAGAAAAGAGAGGGCGGGTGGGCGGGGCTAGTACCTTCTAAAATAAGACTGATTTTGGCAGATAACGTAACTTCCAAGGGAACAGAGGGTGGGTGGGAGGCCCTAGTACTTGCTAAGATACGAGTGATTTTGGCAAATGACATACCCTTTAAGAAAATGGAGCGTGGGCGAGGAGGGCTAGTACCTACTGAGATAAGATTGATTTTTGCAAATGGCATACCCTCTGATTAATGGAGGGTCGAGGGTATATGATTTGGCAAAATCAGTCTTATCTTGGCAAGTATTGGCCCCGCCCAGCCACTCTTTATTTTCTTAGAGGGCTAGTAACTGCTAAGATAAGACTGATTTTGGCCAATGAGATATCCTGTTAGGAAAGAGAGGGCGGGTGGGCGGGGCTAGTAACTTCTAAAATAAAACTGATTTTAGCAAATAACATACCTTCCAAGGAAAGAGAGGGTGGGTGGGCGGGGCTAGTACTTGCTGAGATAAAAGTGATTTTGGAAAATGAGAGACCCTGTAAGAAACTCTCTTTTCTTGTGTCATTTGCCAAAATCAGTTTTATCTTTAGCAGCTACTAGCCCCGCACACCCACCCTTTCTTTTCTTAGAAGGTAGCTCATTTGCCAAAATCAGTCTTATCTTTAGTAGATACTAGCCCCGCCCACCCACCCTGTTTTCTTAGAGTGTATGTCATTTGCCAGAATCACTCTTACCTTAGAAGGTACTAGCTACCTGTTCAAATAAGACCGATTTTGGCAAATAATGGACCTTCAAAGGAAAGAGAGGGTGGGTGGGCAAGGCTAGTACCTGCTAAAATAAGAGTGATTTTGACAAGTGAGATATCCTCGAAAAAAGAGAGGGAGCGTGGGCGGGGCTAGTACCTGCTAAGATCAAGCTGATAATGGCAAATGACCTACTCCCTAAGAAAATGAAGGAAGAGAAGACGGGGCTGGTACTTACTAAGATAAGACTGATTTTGCAAAATGACATACTTTCTGACGACTGGAGGGTGGAGGGTATATGATTTGGGAAAATCAGTCTTATCTTGGCAAGTATTGATCCCGCCCGCCCACCCAACCTTTATTTTCTTAGAGGGCTATTACCTGGTAAGATGAGACTGATTTTGGCAAATGAGATCTGGTAAGAAAAGAGAGGGCGGGTGGGCGGGGCGAGTACCTTCTAAAATAGGACTGATTTAGGCAAATAACATACCTTCCAAGGAAGGAAAGGGTGGGTGGGCGGGCGTAGTACCTGCTGAGATAAAAATGATTTTGGCAAATGAGAGACGCTTTAAGAAATTCTCTTTTCTTGTGTCATTTGCCAAAACCAGTTTTATCTTTAGCAGCTACTAGCCCCGCCCACCCACCCTTTCTTCTCTTAGAGGGTATCTCATCTGCCAAAATCAGTCTTATCTTTAGCAGCTACTAGCCCCGCCCACCCACCCTGTTTTCTTAGAGGGTATGTCATTTACCAAAATCACTCTTACCTTAGCAGGTCCTAGCTACCTGCTCAAATAAGACCGATGGCAAATAATGGACCCTCAAAGGAAAGAGAGGGTGGGTGGGCAGGGGTAGCAACTGCTAAGAATAGAGTGATTTTGGCAAATGAGATACCCTCCAAAAAAAAAAGAGGGAGCGTAGGCGGAGCTAGTACCTGCTAAGATCAAGCTGATAATGGCAAATGACCTACTCCCTAAGAAAATGAAGGACGAGTAGACGGGGCTGGTACTTACTAAGATAAGACTGATTTTGCCAAATGACATACCCTCTGACGAATGGAGGTTGAAGGGTATATGATTTGGGAAAATCAGTCTTATCTTGGCAAGTATTGATCCCGCCCGCCCACCCAACCTTTATTTTCTTAGAGGGCTACTACCTGGTAAGATGAGACTGATTTTGGCAAATGAGATCTGGTAAGAAAAGAGTGGGCGGGTGGGCGGGGCTAGTACCTTCTAAAATAGGACTGATTTAGGCAAATAACATACCTTCCAAGGAAGGAGAGGGTGGGTGGGCGGGCGTAGTACCTGCTGAGATAAAAATGATTTTGGCAAATGAGAGACGATTTAAGAAATTCTCTTTTCTTGTGTCATTTGCCAAAACCAGTTTTATCTTTAGCAGCTACTAGCCCCGTCCACCCACCCTTTCTTCTCTTAGAGGGTATCTCATCTGCCAAAATCAGTCTTATCTTTAGCAGCTACTAGCCCCGCCCACCCACCCTGTTTTCTTAGAGGGTATGTCATTTACCAAAATCACTCTTACCTTAGCAGGTCCTAGCTACCTGCTCAAATAAGACCGATGGCAAATATTGGCCCGTCAAAGGAAAGAGAGGGTGGGTGGGCAGGGGTAGCAACTGCTAAGAAAAGAGTGATTTTGGCAAATGAGATACCCTCCAAAAAAAAAGAGAGGGAGCGTAGGCGGAGCTAGTACCTGCTAAGATCAAGCTGATAATGGCAAATGACCTACTCCCTAAGAAAATGAAGGACGAGTAGACGGGGCTGGTACTTACTAAGATAAGATTGATTTTGCCAAATGACATACCCTCTGACGAATGGAGGTTGAAGGGTATATGATTTTGCAAAATCAGTCCTATCTTGGCAAGTATTAGCCCCGCCCACCCACCCTTTGTTTTCTTAGGAAGAATGTTATTTGGCAATATCAGCCGTACCTGGACAAGCACTATCCCCACCCGCCCTATGTTTTTTAGAAGGCTAGTATCTGTTAAGAAAAAACTGATTTTAGCAATTGAGATACCCTGTAAGAACAAAGAGGGCGGGTGGGCGGGACTGGTACCTGCTCAAATAGGACTGATTTTGGCAAATAACATACCTTCCAAGGGAACAGAAGGTGGGTGGGCGGGCCTAGTACTTGCTAAGATACGAATGATTTTAGCAAATGAGATACCCTTTAAGAAAATGGAGGGTGGGCGGGGAGGGCTAGTACCTACTGAGATAAGGTTGATTTGGCAAATGACACACCCTCTGATGAATGCAGGGTGAAGGGTATATGACTTTGAAAAATCAGTCTTATCTTGGCAAGCATTGGCTCCACCCCCCACCCTTTATTTTCTTGGAGAGCTAGTACCTGCTAAGATAAGACTGATTTTGGCAAATGAGATATCCTGTAAGAAAAGAGAGGGCGGGTGGGCGGGGCTAGTACCTTCTAAAATAAGACTGAGTTTAGCAAATAACTTAACTTCCAAGGAAAGAGAGCGTCGGTGGGCTCTCTTTTCTTGGGTCATTTGCCAAAATCAGTTTTATCTTTAGCAGCTACTAGCCCCGCCCACCCACCCTTTCTTTTCTTAGAAGGTATCTCATTTGCCAAAATCACTCTTATCTTTAGCAGCTACTAGCCCCGCCCACCCACCCTGTTTTCTTAGAGGGTATGACATTTGCCAAAATCAGTTTATCTTAGCAGAGTTTTGGAGAATGTGGTTTTGCAGG